CAAGGTCACTACAACAACAACACACTAGCCATCAGCGGGCCCCACCCTAGTGAGCACACAGCGTTGAGCCCCACCCCACCCTGGTGAGCACAAGCCAGAAAGCCTGCGCTTTAGATGAGCTCACCGGGAAGCGCGCAGGGAACATGCACGGGCAGGCGAAATGGTGACAGTGGAGCACTTATATAAAGCAGTGTGGCGGCTTGGGTTAGCGGTGATTACTTACGGGATGGTTGAATGGGTTCAACGAAGCGGTCAGCGAGGCCGAGTTCTTGGAGGTTCCGGAGTCCAACTGAGGCGAAGCACCCCAGTTCTTTCCGGGGGGAATTGAGGCCTGGAAGAGCTGCGATGAGTCACAAAATTGGGGAGCGACTCACCTTCTGCCCAGAGCCGTTGGGGAGTCATGTTAAACATGAAAGATTTTTAAAGAGACAGGTAGAAGGTGCTTGCTTCGGGATGCTTTGCTGTAGATGGAGTGGGAGGTCCCGGGATCAATTCCTGGTTCCGCACAACGTCGGTTCGGGACGGGGGAAAAGGTGGGACAATGGTCGCGACGGTTTGGTTCGCAGTTGGTTTGCTTTTGGCGGTGGCCGGGCCGGGGTCTGCAGGGCAGGGTCTTCCGCCGTCGGTATTCGAGGTGGGTGAGTTTGGGGATCCGCCGGTGTTGGTGTCCCCGGACCCGGATGAGGATTTTGCGGCGGAGGACTTTGCTGCAGCAGAGTACCGTGAGTCAGACGACAAGTTAGATTCGGACTTGTTGGACGACGACGACGACGACTATGACTTGGCGGGAATCAGTTGCGCCTTAATTAGTGGCGAATGTTCGGCTTGCGCTAAGACCCGCGGTTGTGGCTATTGCGAAAGCGCCGGTGTGTGCATGGACAGCCGTGGACCCTGCGCACACGCACGGCCTGTCACCTGGCACTGGCAATGTGCAGACCACACACGCTGGTGGGTGGTCGTCCTCATTGCACTCTCCATGCTCGTGTCCTGTGCACTCACCGTTGGATGCTGCCTCAAACTCGTCTGCTGCTGCTGTAAGACTACGCCCGCCACCTATCTAACTATCTACCTATTCATCCGTTACTTCATACGCCCCACACCTGACCCTAAGGCCAAGGGGAAGGGGGGTTCTGTCTCTGAAGGCAAGGCCCCCTCGAACCAGGCCCACACGGACCATACCTTCTTTCTTTCAGGCATCGAACAAGTCTCAGCCACCTGTTGCTGCAAACGCAACCGAAGTGGCGCTCTCGATGATAGTGACTACACTGATAGCGTCCTCTCCGGCTCCCTCTAACAGAGGCGCTGGCTCCACGCCGCAGAGGCGCTCGCTCCACGCCGCAGACATGTATAGCGCAATCGCGCATTCTACCTACACCACAACGGCACGCCTAGTGTTCCTGTGCCGTTGTCGCATCATTTTCCGCCTGGCCATTCGACGGCCTTCATTCAGCGGCTTGTCTTCAGCCGTTAGTCTTCAGCTTCCAGTCTTGAGCCACTAGGCACGACATTTTTTGGCTACGAACGGGTGCGATCGTACGTGCCGGCCCTGTTCATCGGTCCTGCTTCTTGTGTCCTTCACAGGCTTGAAGGTAGATGCTCGGGCGCGGTGGCGGTTAGTAGTGAGGGGCGGGCGTGGGTGGAGTTGAATAGAGGGTGACTGCTCGTGTGGCGAGTTTGAGGAATTCGTCAATGGCTTTGATCATGAAGGCGAAGGTGAGGATGGCGGTGCTGAGTACGACGGCATTGAGGAAGACGGCGAAGGAGCCGTCTGCGTCGAATACGGATGAGGGGAAAAGTTTAAAGGGTGCTGTAGTCTCGAGAAAAGTGTACCAGTAGTAGTAGGGTGTGCCGTCGCTGTAGTGTCCGAGTGGTCCACCGAGTTGTGCTCGGATGATGGCGTAAATCATGTACAAGAGAGGACAGATGATGGAGCTGAAGGCCATACCCGTTGTGACCTGGCCCTTGGGGTCGAACAACAGCCAATCTGTAACACCTGAGATCGGAATCACCGTGTGCAGAATGTGTCCAGGGATCAAACGACGCCAGGGCCATGTCGCCAGGAAGTCGTTGTCTTTAATCAACACGTGCCACACGATACCCGTCACGGCCACCGCCATAGTGCACATAAACTTGTAGTAACGGGTCTTCATACCCGTCTTCATACCCGTCTTCAGACCCGTCTTCTGATCCAAAGACAAAGCCTTTTCAGCTGCCGATAATGATTCAACAGCTGCCAACCCTCCACTCCGGCTAGCTCTACCGGAACCAGAACGCAGCCCTGGGAATACAACATCGCGAGCTTCCTTTCCAGCCTTCATGATCCGCCAATCCCGCCTCGACAAAACAGCGTAGAGAACTACCATCAGAATGTTCGACTGGATCGTGTAGTACGTCAATCGCCACCATTCAATCGATACGAACTCATTCGTACGAGGATCGAACTGCAGAAACTCCATTACCAAGCCAACTACAGTTAGCAAACATAAACCAGCTCGAGTACACAACCGAACCCACGACCACCAACCGAGTGTCTTCACCACTCCGTCGCTCGACAAGTTCCTGGCACTCTCTTTCAAGGAACCCGACTTCAGAGACTTCTCCTTCATCAGACGCGTCTCAACCATCGCCACCCACAACCCCAATAAATTTCACTCCCACACACAAATTCCAACTCGAGCTGTCCCACTTTGTTCGTCCCAAGCCCCCAAGCTACTCACCCATCCAGCTGGCCAATGATACGCCACCCACTAACTATCTATCTGAATTTTTTTTTCCATTCTAGCAGATCTCGGGAACACCGAAACGAGTGTGATTTACACTCTGGCACTCCACCACTCACAAGTGCGGACGAATCCACTATCCGGACTTGAGCTTCATACCAGCGCCAATCACCAACACATTGTCAATCACATTCGTATATACATTGTTGGCAATTGCATTGTTGGCAATTGCATTGTTGGCTCACATTGTTGGTTCTCTGTGCGAATGGTTGACGACCGTCTTATTGCGCGGCCGTCTGCCAACCTTCTTGACAACACGTTCCTTCTTGCTGTAGCGGGCATAAAGTGCAGCCACATCCGATAGGGTACTTAATGCAGGAACGTTGGGGCAGTTGACAAAGCGGGGATCCAAAGGGATTCCTGCCACGTCGGGTAGTTTTCCGAGGGCCTCTATACTGAAACAGCATCCCTCTGCGCATGTAGCATACGCACTAGTCGTCTACGAAACGGTTTGTGTTTATCACACACTGTTTGTGTTTCTCACACTGCTGTGTGTATCGCGCTGTGTATGTCGGCCCTGGTGTAAGTAGTCAAATGTGCACCAGGGCCGTGTGTAAGCCATGAGACTGTACCTGAAACTGTATGAAGAACAGGTGCTGGTTCAACATTCCCGGTAGAAGGTCGTAGCTGGTCGGTTCGGTCTGGTTTTTACAGCCATTCGCTCTACACTCAAAATGGGGAGGTGGAAGTCCCGTAGCTTTTATAAAGAGCATGGCATGACAAGCCTTAAGCCAAGTGGGCCTGACTCCAACAGCCGGTCGCACCGGGTAGCTTTTTTGATGGCGAGCTTTCCCTTCTTTGTACACCAGTCTTAACTCCTGCGGGAATTCCAGAAAGGATGACTCCAGAAAGACTTCCAAAGGGGAAGGGGGAACTCGAGAGCAGAAGAAGGAGAAGGAGAAGGCATGTTCAAGGGGGAAGGGGGAGGGAGGGTCTAACGTTCTTGTCCTTTGGCTTATACACTTGGATGGCAGTAAGCATTAGACAAAACACGGTTTTTTTTTATAAAGAGGCAAGGTTGCTTTGCGTTTTCGGGATGGCGGCTTTGAACCAAATATTGAACAGGTCGCGGAGCACCTACAGGACCCGGACGAACAAGACGAAGCTTGTCCGGACTCCGGGCAACCGTCTTGCCAGACACAGGATTGCGCCGAAGCATAGCGTGCCCCACTGCCCTATATCTGGTCTGAAACTGAGTGGTTTGCCCGGCAAGCCCAGAAGCACCTACGGCCGCATGCCTAAGTGCCAGCGCAGCGTTGCTCGCGCTTATGGTGGCCACTTCTCCCATCGCGTCGTCCGTGAAAAGATTCTCAAGGCCTTCTTCACCTACGAAAAGATGTGCGTACAGTCCGTCATGCTCGAGAAAGCCCGATCCCAGAAGGCTGCCACCAAGAAGCGCTAACTTTTTTGCCAACTCCGACCGACTAAAAACTAACAATCCACTGCCGTCATCCACCTCGCGCCCTTTCGGCTTTCGTACGCCCCGTTTTCATCGCGACCGTGCACTCCACAAACGAACTAAACCCCCAGCAACGTCTTCACGCTGGTTGACAGCCCCCAAACATCCAAAAACCTATTCTTCGCCCACAATCAACCTTCCACCACAAAAACGGATTCGCGCGGAAACGCTAATTGTGGGCGAACCCGTGTGCGACCACGCATTTCTGAAAATCATTTTTTCTTAAACTTACCTTGACGGCTTCGTTGGCTTGCTCAAGCATAGGCCCGAAGTGACTCGGAGCAGGCATTGCAGCTGCTGATGTGATGGGTCACTAATGTTCCTTATGGAATGTTAGACGTTGAAATTTCTGACAAGCCATTGGGGTCTTTTGATTCCGTGGCGGCTGAATACATTAATGCTTTATGTTGATACCTTACTCTTGAGAAAGGATTCAAGGACAGCTGCTTTCTTCATTCATGCAAATGACTGTGCATTAAGAGAAGCTGTTCTTGGATAAGCGTCAGTATGTAACTTGATTTTTTTATAAGGTGTGCTTCGTGTAAATGTTTTCTTGGATGCTGGAGGTAGTTCCTCATCCATGTGGAGTGCTAGCTAAGACCTTGCCGTTTATTTTCCTACATCTTATTGTCTGTGTGACGTCTGTCTACTCACGACGTGCGATTTGGTGATTTGAGTGTCCGCGGCATTGGTGCAGACAGCACCCGTGTGGGCAGTATTTATGGTGGCTACCACGTCTGAGTTTTTGTGGATGAGTGTCCATGTTCCGTTTTCAACAACCGCAAGGCTCGTGGCGGCATCAGTCGAAGCACCAAGGGTCGTGGAAGGGAGGTTTGACACCTCTGGCCAGAGGCGATTGGATTGTGGGTCATTTCTGGAACAGCTATCGTTTTCATCCTCATCGGTGCAACTGTCGGGTTCCACGGACCTAAGATGCATTGGACTGTGATGAGCAGTGATAAGTAAATGATGGGAGATGACTGGTTACTGTTTGGATGCCAGAGAGTTGAGTAGCTCGGCTGCCTGTGTCCGGATGAGTTTTAATTTCTGTCATGACAGAAACTAAGTGTTCTACAAGGGGAGCGGAGGCGAGGGGAGGAGGGGGGGGGGGCAGACCGCGATCGAGACCGCGATCCAGACCGCGATCGAGACCGCGGTCGGTCTGAAATTGGGTTCACATCGGGTTGAAGGAGGGAGGGGTTACTATGGACTCTGGCAGTGCAGATTGTATACAGAAGTTTCTGGTACCGGGAAGCATTTCAAAAAATGTTAGTACCACTTACAACATTGGTTTTGCGCTTTGGCCTGTCTATAAAACTTTTCACTGGCGGCCGAGAGGTCGGTGGTTCGAGTCATGAGGATGTCCAGATTTTCTCCCCGCTGCAATAACTTCTCCATTGTGACCACCATCACATTATGGACCTCTTTAAGGTCTTCTTGAATACGACTAAGATCATCCGCTTTCTTCGGATCTTGAAAATTGGCTAATAACTCACTACCTTCAGGATACGCAAACTGACTTGCAGGCGGGTCACTCTCCAACCTCTCCCACTGCTCCGGCGGATATTTCTACCAAAAACGAAAGTGGTCAAAACGCTCCCGCTGCTCCCACTACCAACCAGACCAACTCCGACAAGGACCTGTCCATTTACCATGCGTTGTAATCGCGTGTAGATACCATCCGGACTCACAGATGTAACCGCTGCCTAGACGTGTGCGTTGTAAAGACCCATTCTTGTCCATGTTGCGTGGATGGAACGTGGCTGTGTCATCCGCAGAGATCCATAATGCCGCACAGCATTGGCCGACGTACGTTGCCGTGCCGACCAGCATCAGTCCCGCATTCTCCACTGTTTGGTTGGTCGCGGGTTCGGTTGGTCGCAAAGGTTCGGTTGGTCGCAGGTTCGGTGGTAGATCTTTTGTGTGCTTACAGTGACGAAGGCAGAGAGTGCTCTGTTGAGAAGCACAAAAGCGACACGAGGTGGGTATTCGCAATCGCTGATAACTGTGCCACCGAGGCCGCATTGATGTACGTAGGAGTGGCACATTCCGATATCTTGGTCGAATTTGATAGACTGTCGCTGTCCAACTGGTGTGCGTGCGGCGATCAGTCTTGAATGGAATACAACATGTTCTGCTATGGTGGATCGCATGAAGAAGTTGAACTGCGATAAGTCTAGATGCTTAGATAGTAGGAAGGCCGTGGGCTCTGCGGCGGCCTCCTTGACATGGAAAATGAGCAACGAGATCAGGCCCATTTGTAAAAATCTGCTCGATAAAAAAATGGCCTCTGAGCAAGAAACCGCCGGGCAAACCGCCGAAGAGAAGTACCAGACCTTTGAGTGGAGGGGCAACGCGGAATGGATGGCCTACCTCGATAACATCTATCCTGTGCCCGCTGCGGACAAGCTCGAAAAATATAAGCGCAAGTTTTACAGACAGAACGTGGATCCCACGTTATCGCTCGAGGCGCCCTCGGCCACCACCTCAGCCACGGCCACCACCTCAGCCACGGCCACCAGCCCGACTACAAGCAGTGCGAACCAGAGTCCGACTCATATGAGTGCAAAGTTGTGGGTACCTATAGCGCAAGCGATGTTGGCCACTGCATTGGTTTGCTTACTCGGTTCGATCTTACCCATTCGAATGCAGCGTCAGTTTTCAATTGTGTCACGACTGCTACTGGCAACGGGTTTTGTCGCGGCGATGGTGAGCGAGTTGGGACTCCCAAAGCTCTCCTTACAATACTGGAACGTGGCCATGTTCAACACCCATTTACAGGCACTCATTGTACTAGTAGGCGGTATTCCATTACGCATGGCAGTTGCGGCCTACTCTCCCGCCATCACGGCACTGATATTCATCGCCAAGACACGTGGTATAAGTCATCCTATTCTCACAAGACTCGCACTCAATAAACCTTACCTTGAAATTATGGTCGGCTTCGTAGCACTCTTCTCCGTACTACTAGGCTCCACCACTCTCATTGGCACTGTCCTCTATTGGAACACTCTCCGTATCCTCTACGGAGTCAACCTTCAGACCAAAACTGCTTTCGGCCGCCTTCACCAAGCCCTACTCACCTTTACCGGACACCCACGCGTCCCGCCGGCCGTTCGGACCTACTACGTTAAATTTGCTGACTTCGTCCACTCCAAGTGCGAACCCACAGCCTAATCATTTTTTGTCCACCCACGACCAACCAACCACAACCAACAACAACCAACCACAACCAACCACCGAAAAATCTGGAACCCGCCGGGGGTCTGGGGCGGCTTTTCAATAAAAGTGGGCATGGGAAAGAAGAGATCTTCGCGCAAGAAGCGGACGGTGCCTCCGGCTTCGGCAGTGGCGGAGACGCGGGAGTGGGCGGAGACGCGGGAGTGGAAGCGCGGTGAGCCGGTGGACTTCGGGAATGCAGCGTTGCGTGAGTATTACCGGATGCAACATATTTGTGCGACCGAAGAGGAGTTGTCTACAATGTTTGAGGTAATGCAGGTGCCTCTGGCCGCCTCCTTCCGCTTAACGTGTTCCGGTGACCTGAAGCACCAGACCCAAAAGTTTTACGACACCTTGCAGATTTTCGACCCGGCTGGTGACGGTACCTCCGTCATCGACCGACCTCAGAGCGTCGCTTGGTACCCAGACGCCTACACCTTGTCCAATGTCCCCCGGAAACTCATTCGCCAAAACCCCTCTATGAACCGCCTCAAGAAACGCCTCGTCCTTGACTTCGAACGCGGCGCCATTCAACGACAGGAACTGGTCTCCATGGTCCCACCGCTCCTGCTCGACGTACAACCCTCCGACGCCGTCCTAGACATGTGCGCTGCACCCGGCTCCAAAACCTCCGAGATCATCGACCTACTCCACCAACAATCGCGTGCGACGCATGAGTGTGAGACGCACGATTGTGCGTCTCACGAATGTGCGTCGCAGGACTTTGAGGTTCCGCTAGAGGGCGCTGTGTTGGCGAACGACGTGGACATCGACCGTGCGCGATTGTTATCACACCAGTTGACGAAGGTGAGTAGTCCGGTGTGCGCGACCGTCTGTAGCGATGCGTCGGCGCTGCCGAAGGGTGTTGACGTGGAGACGTTGTACGACAAGGTGCTGTGCGACGTTCCATGCTCAGGCGACGGGACCTTGCGAAAGAACGTGGACATCTGGAACAAGTGGAGTCCGCGCATGGGCATCAGTCTGCACGCGCGCCAACTATGCATCCTCACACGCGGGCTCCAGCTACTTGCACCCGGAGGCCGACTCGTTTACTCGACCTGCTCTCTCAATCCGCTCGAAGACGAAGCCGTGGTGGCTGCCGCACTCCAGCAGTTCGGCAACGATGCGACTTTGCTCGACTGCGCACAACTGCTCCCCAGTTGCGACGCAATGACACCCGGACTAACCACCTGGGTTGTCCCTGACGTGGACTCCTTCCGTGACCTACTCCCTGCAAACAGGTCGCCTGGGAGCAAAGGGACGGATACGGGTAACACTGCTGTGGGGATGGTCGTTTCTCACCCCGAAGACCCACCCCAACCTGAAGACGCCCAGCCCGAGCCCGAGCCGGACGCGGCCCATCCTTCACCCGAGTCCAAGAGGGCTAGACGAGCGCCTGGGTACTTCGAAAACTTCGAGCAGTGGCAGCTTCTCCAGGCGACCGAGACACCCACTCCCGACGAGCAGGAGGACAGAGCGAGACGGCCAAGCGGGAGAGGACGGCCGGTGCCGATTCAGAGTTCTATGTTTTGCGACCAGTACAGTACAGCGATTAAAAAGCAATTGTCGCGATGCGCGCGGTTCATGCCGCACAAGATGAATAGCGGCGGGTTCTTTATGGCTGTGTTTGAACGGCACGCGAACTCGGAGCCGGCTGTAAAGCGCAAGAAACGGGTCGCGCCGGAAGGCGACCGTAAAGCCGGCTCGTGGGCTACAGACGACACCAAACTGATCAAGAGGCTGCGTCCCGACCTTGTTTCTGATATCGTGCGCTTCTACGGCTTGGGAGAGTGGACGAAGGACATGTCACAAGAACGCGGTGCCGTCCGCGATACTAGACCGTTAGTGTGGAAGCAAGTGGTGGACCACTTAGGGGAGCAAGTGGTGGAGAACGCGGTGGTGGAGGCGAAGACGTTGCCGGACGAGATGCTGTACCAAAAGACGGATTGTGAACGGCGCGTGTATCTGGCGACACCGAGGTTGTATCGGCTATACGAACACGCCCGGAACCTGAACTTCATTGCATTCGGGTCGAAATGTTTCGAACGATTGGACGACCGTTTCTGCTCCGTATCTTCGTGCGATTATCGTCTGACCTTAGAAGGGTCGTTGTGGCTAAGTCCTTACATGAAGCGGCGCAAAGTGACACTGACCTACAACCTCATGGCCGATATGCTCGACCGTGATGGCCTCACCCGACCCTATCTACTCGAACAGGAAAAACTTGGTCATGTCATAAACCTTAACTCCTGCCGTAACGTGGACTCCACCTCACCACACTTCCTCCTACTCGAAAGCGGAGGAGCTGTAGCATTATGCCACGGACCCAAAGGCACCATGAAGGTCGCCTGTCTCCTTACAGCATCCGGTAACCTCCAACCGCTAATGAAGGCCATCCTCCGACCCGGATTGATTGAAATGTTACGCGCATAAACGTCGTGTACCCCTCGCCAGAGGACGTGTACCCCGGCCCCTCCCCATCGGCAGTTTAGTCCGTTACGGATCTTGTCAGATCGTGAGGAATTTTTTTCCCTGGATAAAAGGAGTAACGACCTGCCAGCCTCCTGACAGACCAACCCCAAAGTGCCAGTCCCAAACGTCGGGTCTGTTGTTCAGGGTCTGTTGTTCAGGGGCTGTTAAGGGGGCAAAAGGTTTTGAGAAATTTTCGTATGCTGTCGTCTTCTTCTTCTCCTCCTGCGGGAGTGCGGGGGACCAAGCCCAAGCTAGCGACGACGTCAGGCATTCTGTATAGCCGCCAGAGTGAGACGCAATCTGGCTCGACGTCACCCGGCGGAGAGCCTTACCAGGATTGGCCGATTCTTCTTCCACGAACGACGGCCACCGATCCTTTTGACGAAACGCCTTGCCAAGGTTTGCTCCAAGGAAGAGACCAGGCCGCGGGACTGATACAGGAAATTACCAATATGCTGAACCAAAGCGACATTTTGGGCAGTGCTGGGCTAATTGGGCATCATCAAGGTGAGGGAAGCCAACAACACCTACGATGAACAACACCTGCGATGTACATATGCCCATACACGGCAGTCGCTGTATGCGCACACTTGTGGGTACAACACTTTGTGTTCTGCAGGTAAGCTTGGTTTATTGGATGAGGACCTTTTGGAGAGTTTGGATGGTATGGGGGTGTCACTAGCGGGAGGACAGCCGCCGCGAGGGAAGACGCGTGCGAATAGTGTGACGGATGAGAGCAGTAGTACTGGGGGTGCGAGTGGTCGGGGGACTGCGAGTACTAGTAGCCTGCATAAGAAGACGCAGTACCATAAAACTAAGTTGTGTCCATGGCACAAGGAGGGAAAGTGCTTCATGGGGAGTGTGTGTAATTATGCCCATAGCCGTGAGGAACTGCGGCCGAAGCCGGATCTTAGCAAGACCAAGTTGTGTCCGGAAATTGTTAAACACAAGCGTTGCGACCGACCGGGCTGCCGGTTTGCACACGACTTTGTAGAACTGAGGGCCACCAGCACCTTCTTCAAGACGAGACTTTGT